ATATATATATATATATATATATATAAATATATATATATATATATATGGTAATTAAAATATTGGTTTCTGGTGTATGTATTTATGCTAATGTATTTACGTTGTGTTCAGTTTCCAAAATGGCTGATTGCTTGCAACATTCAATATTGTATAGGAAATGTTATATTTTGAAAAGAATATTAGTTTAAGTAAAGTTAGGCGTACACCTAACCTAACTGTAAACTTTCATTTCAGATACAAAGTATTAAACAAAATATTCTTGTAATAAAGTAATTTTATTTTACCTTTTAAATAACCGTTATTTCAAATACAACTCACACATTCTGAATTTTCGACATGTTAATTTCTGTAATTTTAGTATTCATAACATCAGCTGTACTGTAATCACACGTAAACAGAGCAGCAACATACAGCCAATCATATTCGCAGTAGCATCACTGTATACCACCACAGTCAATGTAACCAACTGCCGTGACAGAATGCTAAATGCGTGCTCGCATCTTGATCACTGTTTCACTGCGTAAGATGACCGTGATTGAGAGTGAGTAATCACAGTCAAACCTGTGTTCACAGAAGAGCAGTTTAACTCATCACTATTCGCTATACTGACTGAGACACGCCGGCTCTCGTTAAATAAAGAGGGTGTGACAATCTGGCTGATAAGATCCAGGGGCATGTTCTTTTGAATGCGGTAATGGACCTTCTCGTTCTTCATTGGTTGACCGCCTTTCAAGTCTGAAGGAGGAACCCACTCTTTGGAGTTAATTACACGAGAATAGTTACCCTGGACTTTGTTCCGACTTCGTCTTTATTCCGGGGAGTCGTCTGCTTGTGAAATAATTCATGTCCCTCCACTCTGCTGACGCACTTTCTGTAGAATAACCACAGAACGCATTACAGATCGCATTGTTTGAAACTTAGAATTGCACTCATATTATACAGGACACATATTTAAACATGAGTATAAGTCGCGCGAGAAGTGCTGGCGCATGCGCATAGGTCTGTTCAAGAAATGAAGAAAAGTAAAAGAAGACGTTATCAACTATTTGAAGTACCAGCACCAACAAGGTAAACTGATACTAATAATACTACTCACTCAAGTCATACTACTCATTCGATATATTACGATTACGAAAAATATTACTAAAACTGACTTTATGAATGATTTTAAGACGAAGATTTGCAAGGGTGGAGTTGGACGTAGAAAGTTTACTGACCAAGAACAGTTGGCCTCTGAACAGCGACGTAAGGAACTAAAATATCAGACTTATTTAACAAATAAAGAAAAGCGAAAGAAGACCATATTAAGAACACACGTAGAAAAACTTATTCAACAAAAACAGAAGAACCAAAAACAAAAACAAAAAACA